ATTCTTATCTAATTTAAACATGAGAATATTGAAATTAATGCTTCTCAAAAACATTTTTTTATTACAATAAAGTTAAATTAATTTTTGTATTTTTAGAAATATTATATATAATAAGATATAAAGAATTATGGATAAACGAATAAGTAATTTTCAATTATTTTAATCAATAATAGTCTCTAGTTTTGAGATAATTTTAGAATTTACTTAGTAATTATTCTAGTAGATTTATAAAGAAATGAAATATATTTATTTATTCATTACTAGAGATATTTAAAGATACTTAAATTTTTATTATAGCTCAAAAAAATTTATTAAATGTTCTAAAATAATGAAGGATTACACATTATAGTGAGTCTTAATAGAATTAAGATAATATAAATTAGGGTGTGAATGAATATATATTAGATATAAAATATTTAAAAAAATGATTTAGCAAATAAATTTAAAGTTCAAATGTTAACAAGATGATCATAAGGATGAGATAGACACAGTTTGTTATAACTAGTTTTGTACAGAATTTAGATTAAATTGCTTTAAATGTATTAAGAAAGGTAAAATTCATAATGATCATTTTGATGATGTTGAAAAAATTAATACCATTATGGATTTTATTGAGAATAAAAATATAGAATGTGATAATTTGATTAATGATCTTAATAAATTAGTAGAGAGTATGAATCAATCATTTTCTTAATTAAAAATGGGAATCAGATTTAAATATTCATTATAAAAGGAAAGATTAGAACATTTGAATTCATTGTAAATAAATGATTATTTAAATTCAACCATTAAATTAATTGAATACAAATAATCAATTACAACTATCATTTCAGAATAGACTAAGAAATTAACTCATTCATTTAATAATTTATATTAATAATTATAATTATCATAATTTAATTATTATTAAATTGATGATAATTCTATAAAATTATCCAAAGAATTATATGATAAAGGTTATCATATTGTATTAATCATTAGGTTATGATTTATATTTGGGATAAAAATATGATGAGGCAATATAAATATTAGATAAATCACTATAATATAATCCTAATAACCATTTATCTCTATGGTGTAAAGGTAAAATTATAGATGATTAATAGGTGCATGTTTAAGAAATTTAAATAAATATGAAGATGCAATCACTTGGTTAGACAAAGCATTAGCTATTGATACTAAACATGTTAATTCCTTATTTGATAAAGGTAGATTGAATCATAATTTTATTAATAGGTTAATGTTTAGAAATTTAAATAAATATGAGGATGCAATCACTTGGTTAGACAAAGCATTAGCTATTGATACTAAACATGTATTTTCCTTAAATGAAAAAGGTAGATTGAATCATAATTTTATTAATAGGTAAATGTTTAAGATTATTGAAAAAATATAATGAATCTTTATAATTACTGGATTAAGCATTGTTAATTAATCCACAACATTTATTTTCTCTCTAAACTAAAGGTATCATATAGTTGTATTTTTTAGGAGATTGTTTAAGAGATTAATAAAAATATAAAGAATCTTTAATTTATTATGAGAAATCATTAGAGATTGATCCAAATAACCAATATTCAAAAAACTAAAAGGGTATGCTTAAATTATTAAATTAGAATTTTGCTAAAAGAAATTGAATCAATGAATATAAAATATTAATAATAATCATATCAATATTCATTTTATTAAAATATGCAATAGTTTTAGTTTAAAGATAAATTTGGAAATATAATATCTTTAAGGAATTGTTAATATTTATAGTACAAATTTAAATTTTTAATGTATTTTTTCTTTAAATTTACTTTATAATAATATATTTACCTACCATATGGATTTACAAATCTTTAATTGTCTGCTTAGTAATCCAATTATATACACCCTAAATATTATGAATTAAAACTGAAACTTCGCTAATTATTAAACAAACAAAATAATTTATTAAAATGTTAAAGTATTAGTTTTATTTATTTGAATTAAATGGATCATATAAGTTAATATAAATATATTATTATCATAAGATAAATATGTTTGAAACTTAATTGCCATTTCTCATACATAGATTGAGATGAATTTATTATTCTTTAAATAAATAAATGATAGTTTCATCTTATTAATAATGTTCATATCCTCATATATTACATTCAATTACCTAAATATTTATATAAATTTAAGTATATTTAACTTGAAGTTTTACTATAATTTTTCAGAAAATGTCTATGATTCAATATATAAACTAAAATGATATCTTTAATCAAAATATTTTTTAATCTTTAAGTTTAACATGAAAGGAATTTCTATCTATATATTTTAAAAGAAGAAGAAAATATAAAGATAAAAGGTCAGCAGCATAAAAAATAGAATTACAGATTAATTCATAATAACTTAAGAAGTTCAAGTTTCTAGAATAAAGAGGTTGATGTTGAAATAGTCTTCATGAATAGAAAAAGTTTATCTTCAAAAATTTATTTGGGCAAATTTTAATTAATTTACTATCAACATGAGTTTGTTATAGTTAAAGCAGAAGTTCAAAATGTCTTTGCTCAAAGATATCATCAATTAAAATTTCCAGTAAATATTATTTATTGCTTTCAATTTAATCTTCTTATTTTGATAAGAGAATCAAATGTTGTACTATGCATCATATTAGAAATTTACCAATCTACTTGTATA